CTTTGACACCAAACGCTGATTGGTGAAAAACCGGTGGCGAGGGTAAAATTTACCCCCATAACCCGTTTTTCACCAATCAGTGTCCGGTGTCAAAGCGCTGTTGTCCGTATGAGGATCCGGGCTAAGAGAAATGATCATTTCTCTTACTCGCACTCATTATGCGCAGCACTACTAAATTCACGAGCGCTGTCGAGAATCGGAAACGGAACTCGAAACCTAAAATGGGTTCATGTCTTGTAGACTGGCGAGACCGAGTGGAGTCTCCTTATATCTTCCTTCATGGTTCCGACCATGGTGGAAGTATACATGGTGTGTCAGCAACTGGACGAGTTTTCGTCCTGTTTCGCGCAGGTCCCCAGCTGACGTCATCGATCAGTCTGCCATCTGTCTGTTCTGGTACCGTTTCAAATACAGTCATAACTTTTATTATAGACTTTGAGTTATAGACATTAAAATGCCGAATTGTGCAGTAAAATGCTGAAAAAATTCCACAAAGAAAAATATAGAAATTGTTAGCTATTTTCGTTTTCCAGCAGATAAAATTATCTCAGACATGTGGGTTAAGGCATGTGGCAATCCAAACGTTTCTAAACAATCAGGTATATATAAAATAAATATATTCTTTCTGTACTTTTAAAGTATTTTTGTAATTATTTATTAATCAGTAATACTTATATTAATGTTATCATTACAATAAATTTATAGATATAAAAAATAATTAATGCAAACAGGGCTACGAGCCAACATTCGTTGAAATATAAAGGTCTTAGTAAATATAAAATGTCATTAGTTAAAAATAAATATAAAGTTTAATAAAATTTAAAAACAGACCTTAATTAGGTCAAATTGACTAGTCATCATTTAAATGTAATGGGTTCAGAAAGACAAAGAGTCAAACCAGCAGCTCAATTGTTTTCAAATACAGCTTCAAAAGCAATTGAGTGGTGTGGCCTACACAGATTTTTAAGCAATGAGCCATGGATGCAGACATCTTATTTTTTTAAAATTGTTAATGATTGGTTCGACGTGTTTAATAGTACTGGTAAATATGGTAATCATCCCGGTGTAAATGGCTATGGTATCGACCTAAAAAATCAAAATGACATTATTGATAAAATGTTTTCTATAATAAATCAAATAACCGTTGGTAAACATAAAACTACGTTACCATTTCAAAGAGGCATTTTATTAAGTAATAAATCGCTGATGCAATTATTACCATATTTACAAGAACATTACCAATTTCAAGATTTTAAATTAGAATATTTGATAACTTCGCGTCTAAACCAAGATATCTTGGAAAATTTTTTCTCTTATACGTATAAGAGCTATGGGTGCAACAAATGACCACCCAGCACCTATTGAATTTCAGCAAAGACTGCGATGGTACATATTAGGTAAGCACTCTACGGATGTGTTTACAGTTAATAGTAATACAATTAGTAATTCTGATGAAAATTGCTTAATCTCATTAGAAGATACAATTACTAATCAATCCGATAAATCTGACGAACATATTCTAGTAAATAATATGCTAGCACCTTTGGTTGAAAATATTTCTTGCGGACAAGAAAATGTTGAAATTGATGAGTTTAGTATACAGAATGAAAAATGCCATTAACATTAGATTTATCTTTTTATCATCCAAGTGCAGAGGAAGATAATCTTTTAAAAGAATATGAAGAAAGTACTATGTGCGAAATGATAAGCGAACAAGGCTTACAATATGTTACTGGATTCGTAGCACATAAATTTCGATGCAAATATCCGCATTTGGTGAATCGGCTGTGATGAACACTACTGACGTTCCTGATTGGATAGAAATAATTTCTCGTGGGAAATTATTGACACCGTCAAAAGAATTATTAAAATTAGCTATAATGACATTCCAACAATTTAAATTATTTCATGGAGACACGTTATCTAGGGAAAAATTAATATTTAAAAAATTAGCTATAAAAGTAAAAAAATGATTGATACAACAATTGCAGATGAAGTGATATTATATTTAATAAAAACATTAACATTTAATAGATTAAAAAACTGGAATCGAAAAATTTATGTTAATTCGCGTCGCAATAAAAAAAAATGTATAAAGTTACAAATAAAAAATAATTTTTTGTAAAAATAAAAAATTGATTTATTCACGTGAGCCTTATAAATTATTTTGTATTATTTTAAAAACAATTATTTGATTTCATTATTAACATAGTAAATTAATTATTTAATTATTAAAAATTGAATATTGAATGTATTATACATTAAAAAACAATAAAAAGAGATTTAAGTAAGATTAATATATTTTCACATTTGAATGTAGCGCCAAATGTGACGTAAACTGGGGGTCGATACTGATTGGTTCAAATAATAAAGCTGCGCTCGGACACACCATGTATACTTCCACCATGGTTTCGACCATGGTATAAACACAAGGGTATGCTCACGCGCATGATAGTTCCAGACAACCAATCAGAAATGTCACTCAGCCTACGTCACATTAAGCGGCAAATTCAAAATGCATTTGCTTAGTACTTCTACATACAGTATTGAATTACGGTATTTTCTAATAAGATTGACTTTAAAAACGTGATTTCTCGCCGCTAAATTCAAATAATTTATTCTAATCCGTATCACAAATAATTTCAAAAAATAAAAAAGAAATCATCTTCCATTATATAAATTGTGAAATAATTTATATAAAGGAAGGTGATTTTACACTTTTAGTAACAATTAATACTTTTCTTGAAAAGCAATTCACATTATTTATTGTAGAAATACGCAATTAGCAAAAAACTTTCATTGTGCTCTCTTTACAAAAAAAATAGATACATATAAATATAATGATCATTTAAGATTCTTTTGTAACTTATTTTTGAGGAATGGACGATGAAATGAATAAAAAAACAATTGCAAGTATATGTGTATATATAATAACTAATATGTAATATAATAAGTATAACGTGTATATATAATATAAGTAATGACTATATTTATTAAGAAATTTTGATAATCATTACATTTGAAGAAGGCTCAATCAAGGAGCCGAAACATGTCATGTATGCATACGAAATTTAATTAAATTCAAAATTTTTATATACAGGAAAATTTAATTTGTAATGTTTCGTTGACTCTCAGAGTTGCCCTTATTATTATCCTCTATTGTTTCAGCATAAATAAATACATAAATAAATAAGGTGGAATTGTACAATAGTATTAATCGATGAAATTGTCAGTGCTCTTGGTGAAAATTTTTCATATAATTTAAAAATATTTTTAATAAAGAATTTAAAATCTAGATTTGTTTATACGAATGTTTATACGAATTCACATATAATAAAAAATTATAAGAAAAAGTGTATTCTTTCTCAATACTTCTGAAAGCGTTTTAATTCATGTAAAAATTCTGACAAATTTTCACCAAGAGTTTCGTGATATTTTTGTTTGATTGTAAAAAGTTAACCTAACCAGATTAGTTATTTACATTTACACTATCAATTTGTTTATGCGTTAATATGCAATATTTCAACCTTACCATGCGTTAAATTTACATTTTCCTCGCACACTTCGATCCATTTTGCAGCAATTTCAGGGTCTTTAGGAAACCTGAAATATTTTATTTCCTCTCCTTTCATTCTTACCGTTTTTCGATAATAATTATTGCAGACTTTTACTGCACAAACAGCCATTATTTTTAATAAAAACTCTTGCTTACTTTACCGCTTTAACGAATATCATAAATACGGCAGCCCATACTTCATTGGCACTCAGAGTCCGAAAGCTTACGAAAGCATCCGAAAGTAGCCGAATGTGACGTAAACTGAGTGATGCGCAAAGGCTTTCTAAATTCGTCCACCGGATGAGCATACCCTTGTGTTTATACCATGTAAGAACGCATCTCTGTTTTCTAGGTCTCTAGGTGCGAATTAATGCTTCGGTGGAAACTAGACTACACGGAACAACGGGGATGCGTTCAGGAATGGTCGCGTTCAGCGGACTCGACAGTTGAGTAAGCGCTCGCTATTATTGGTGTATTCTTCCAGATCTAAAATTCTGATTGGATGATCTAAAAGAATACACCAATAACAGCGAGCGCTCACTCAACTGTTGAGTCCGCTGGACGCGCCCTTATAGCCTAGTGTTACCTAGGTGTGATTTCTGAACGCAGCCCGGAAGTAGCACGGCGTAGCATGTAGCACGTTTCGCTTCTTTTCGCAGCACGTTGTCGGCGTTGTCTTGTATAGATTGCAATTTCGCAACAATTCTATTAGAATTATTTCGCGATTTTAACTGAAAAGCATAAGCATTTCGAATCATTCCTGGTAAGGTAAGTTAAACGTGTAATATGTTTGCAAATATCTTGTACATGAAACAGATATATTTTACACAATTTAAATAGCGTGATCTTGATAACCCTCAATATTAAGTTAAAATGATATATCTTACATTGTAACGAGTGGGAAATTTTATAAAACGTTTTTAATCGTATTTTCAGAATTTGAATATATATGTACTCATATCTGTTACTTATTTCACATATTTTTCTTTTGGCATTGCAGAAATTTGTTTCGAAATGAATACTAAAGGAACGTACGAGAAAGGAAAGAAGCGTGCGCTTAGCGAAACTTCTGTTTCTAAAGTAAAATCGAATAAAAACCAAAAGAATGTTAATGAATTTAACAAGATATCCAAAAAAGCCAAAATTGCTGATTCTAAGCAAAATGGAAATTCTGCATTGAAAGGAACAGCCCAAATCCTTAAAGTGAACAAAGAGAAAAAAGAGCAAACTAAGATACTTAAACAACAAAGTAACATAGTAAAATCACCAGAAACGAAGGAAGATACAAAAGAAACAATCATTAAACCTAAAAATGATACTATTGGTAAGATCAACAAGCTGCGAAAGAGAAGAAATCCTTATGGTGTTATTAGTCTTACTCCAGAACAGATAACAAATAAGATAAAAGAAATCAAGAGCAGAGAAGTACTGTCAAAGAGAGCACGTAGAATATTGGGTAAACTTAACAAAAAATTACAGGAAAGCGTAAATGAACCAGAGAAACTAGATATAGGAAATAAAAATAAAAAAATAGAACATGTAAGTGCATTGAAGAATAAACAAAAGGTTAATGAGAATAAAAAGAAAATAGAAAAGAAGCATATTCAAAGTAAAACTAAACTACAAGAAGAAGATGAAAATGATAGTGACATGTCCTGGTCACTGGAAGATGAAGATGGAGACAATACTATTGACAAAGAAAGTGACGAAAGCGAGGCAGTAAATGAATTTGTTGATAATAAAAACCGAGAGATTGATGATGAAAGTGATGAGGATGAAGAGACTGAAGGAGATCAAGTATCTGTAGAAGATGATGAAGATGATGAAGATGATGAAGATGAGGAGGAAGAGAATGAGGATGATGAGGATGATGAGGATGATGAGGATGATGAGGATGAGGATGAAGATGAGGATGAGGATGAGGATGATGAGGATGAGGATGAGGATGAGGAAGAGGAAGACGAAGACGAAGAAGATGAGGACGAAAAAAATATAATAAAGAAAATAAAAATTGCAGAAGTAAAAAAGAAAGATGTACAAAATAAGAATAAACAAATTTCTCAATTTTTGGATAATCAGAAGAAAGGAGAAGTAAAGAAGCAGCGGTATGTCCTATTTGTAGGCAATTTACCACTAAAGTAAGTAATATATTTTTAGTTTTTAATATTTCTATGTAATTTTGTGAGTATGTATGATTCATATAGGCGTACACATATATAATAATTTTGATATCTAATTTACAGTATAACCGAAGATGAAATCAGACGGCACTTTTTGACTAAAGTTGATACAATAAGTAGTATCAGAATTCCAACCAAATCAGATAAAACATTACGTGGCTTTGCATATGTGGAGATGACAAATAATGTAGATTTAGAGGTAAAAAGATCTTATACTGTTTTTGCTATATCTATTAAATAGTTTTATTACAATATGTGACTTTTGTTTTTAACAGAAAGGTCTCTCGTTAAATCATACATTCTTGAAGAAAAATAGGATCAATGTTGAATATTCGACGTCCATGTATGGCAAAAATGTAGATGCTACTAAAAAACTTATAGTTGCCAAAAATATGAAGCTACATGCTCTTCAGAAAGCTGGAAAATTCGCTCATGGGAATGAAAAAAAGAAGTCATTTAAAATGAAGAAATAAGACACCGAACGAGACATAATGAAATAAGTAGGATCAATTGACAGAAGGATTATTTGCGAAATGTTTGTTTTTAACATTTAATTTTGAATGAAAGAGCGACTTTTAATAAGAAAACAGTTATCTTAAACATATTTAATACATACCGTCCCTCCTATTTTCCTGTAATTTCGTATACTTATATATTTAGCTTAGAATATATTCCGAGAAAAAAAATTATCAAGTTCTATTTTTTCTTTAATTTTATAGTTTTTAACGTCGGTAAGTTAGAAAATGATTTTCAGCGTATACTCTGCTTTAATCAATTAAAAACACAATTTTTTTTTTATATAACTTAAATTATTAATTAGTAGAGAATAATTTGCAATTTAAAGTTCGTATCTTTTTTGTTTTTTTATGGATATGAAAAAACTTTGAAATTAAGGAAAGGAACTTGAGAAACAGTTTTCCTTCTAATTAGAACACATTTTATACATGAAAATATACAGATTTACAAAATTACAGAAAAATTGGTAGAATTTTTTCTTTTATGTAAAAAAAAATATATATATATATATAAAAGATTCTTTCAATTATATTTTATTTTATACAATTATATTTTATGTAATTTAATACTATAAATGCTTTAAAACGTTTTTTTTTCTGATTGACCAATTAGAAGAAAGAATTTTACAAATTGACCAATCAAGAAACGCTTTAAAGCATTTGTAGCATCTCGTTGACCGTACTCATCATTTATATTTGTAAAACAAATGAACGTGTATTCGCATTATTATTTAGTGACATGTATGACATCAGTAAAAAAAATACGTTTATGAATGGAACGGAATCATTACTTTTTTCTTTATATTATTCCGCAGTGTTATGACATCAACAATTCATAATTAATCATATTTACATTAATTTTATGTAAAGAGGAAATCGTTAGCACGATTTCATGTAAATTATTTCATGATATACGAGTAAGAACGCAATGCACAAACAGCAATTTACTCAAGAATACTATCATTTTATAAGATTAGATTGAATATTGTTGAAATGCTTGATGTAAGAATGGCAGACGGCAAGTTAGAGACAAATAATTCCCTCAATAATAAAAAGATGTCATCAACTAAACTCGAAGAGGTATTGTTTTTAAATATTCTTTGTATCAGTGATAAATATGAATATAAAATGATATTTAATAAATCTCCGGATATTTGCGTATACGCATTTATTATCAATATTTTATTATATTTTTCTCGATCGATACATTGTATTCGTATTGTACATTTTGCTTACTTGTGAATTTTCATATATGCATATTTTGCATAGGAAGAACTCCGAATGTATCATATATATATTTCTAGAGGATTTCTAGATGATTCTAGAGGAATTTAATAAATTCTTGTAAGATCGCGCGAATTTATGTATAAGTATAGGTGTAATACAATGCCTTCTTTTCAGTTAAACTTCTTGCATGGTTTATTTTTTTTCTCTTTCTTTTCAATGTGGAGAGAAAAGAAAGATGAACCACATACAAGAACTTTAGCAAAAAATAGACTTATATAATTACAAATTAAACTTAATATACCTCCCAGGTCAAAAACTTATAATTACACATATATGGTGTGTGTAATAAAAAGAGAATTTTATATATATATATATGCATATGACTAGTATTTTTCTTTATGTGTTATATATATTGTGCGTGTCTCACATACATATACACACACATATACATATGAGCTATATATACATGTATATCAATCATGTAATTATTTATTGAAGAATTCATTGTTATGTTCAGATAATATGATTATACATTATTACATACATATAATGTAACTAATATAAAACAGGATTTAACGGTAGAGAATGAATGTTTGCGACAAGTATTTGAACAAATGGAGGAGAAATTGCGGACAATGATGCAAGAAAAACAGAATACACAAAATGCAACAGCAGCCGAATGGATCACAACAAAGTTAACTGAACTTAGCAAGAAATATAGAGACCAAACCACCGAAATAGAAACGTCGAAAACAAAATGCAAAAATTTAGAAGCCACTCTAATCATTAAAGACAACGAGATGGAGCGCCAAAAAACGGAGCTACAACAGATTCTCATATGTGAGATGCACAAGGATTCTAGCGATAAGTTCTAGCGATAAATAACATTTTTTTTCCCTACTATACACGCAGTACAGATTTTATATTATTTTGTCTCGCTGTTATTATTTTATATTAGCTTCGTTGTTTAGAATTCATGAAAAGGTTAAAAATTCGAGTGATTGAAGTTTTTGAGAAAATCTAGATTAATTGCTGATTCCTTTTTCTTTCATTAACAGCTTATTTTCTTTGTTTATTAATAATTTCATGTATCTACATTATAATGATTTTTAACAAGTTAATCATTTGCTTACATCACCTGATCATTTTTACATCATTTTTTAAATAATATTTTTCGCATACTCGTAACATTGAAAAATCGATTAAAATTGATTGATAGATTTATTTCAACGTTCGCAAATGCGTACTTCTGCAAATCTGAATCCATTTCAACACTCATTTATTTATCGATGCATATTTATTTATATTATTTATAGACAGTTACATGAAGTATATTATTTTTTATGCCTTTTAAATAAAAAATGAATTTAGTTTTTAAAAATAAGTTGTGAATTTTATTTAATTCAAAATTTTGAATAGAAAATGCAGTTTTTCAATCCAATTGAATTCATTTGGATTCAAATAAAGATTTGTCATTTAAAATATACATTCGGATGGATAAAAAAATTTCGATCTAGGTAAATGTGTCGATGAGGGGACCCCCCCTCCAATGACTTTGACCTTGACATATGTTGTCAAGGTCATAACCCTGAGTAACCTGCAACAGGTTTTAGCCGTTGCTCGTCCTTCGTTAAAAAGTTATTAACAATCATAGTTTTAAAATAAACGTATTATTTCTGCTATACATGTATGATATGAAGTACTATTTCCTTTCCCTGTTCAGAAACGTTGAACTTTCCACGCGAAGTAACTTTCACCCCTCCCCGCACAGAGCACACGACTTCTACGATTGTACTATTAACTGTGATTGTATCGTTGAGGCAAACCTCCGCCGACGGGGTGGTTGCGGGGGGGGGGGCCGAAGGCCAAAAAAAACGTTGTGTGTGTGTGTGTGTGTGTGTTCCATTCGTTATATAACGATTATATGAGTCTATTACTTGATATTTTATACACACACACACACACGGGCGGGTGCATGGGGTGGCCTTCGCCCCCCCCCCCCCCCCCCCCCCCCCCCCCCCCCCCCACCCGTCGACAGAGGTCTGCCCCGACAGTACTATCATAGAATAGTACTTCATATCATACATGTATAGCATACGTTAAAACTATGATTGTTAATAACTTTTTAACGAAGGACGAGCGACAGCAAAAACTGTTGAGGGTTACTCAGGGTCATGACTTTGACAACATATGTCAAGGTCAAAGTTATTGGAGGGAGATCCCCTGATCGAGACATTTTACTATTTTAAAACTATGATTGTTAATAACTTTTTAACGAAAAGGACGAGCGACGGCTAAAACTTGTTGGAGGTTACTCAGGGTCATGACCTTGACAACATATGTCAAGGTCAAAGTCATTGGAGAGGGGTCCCCTCATCGACACATTTTATACCTCGATCTATTTTAAATCATTTTTATTTACTGGAATATAAAAAGGAGAAGGATTATTTTAAGAAACAATTTATTATTTATATAAAGGTGACGAGGAGCAAATTAAATGTTTAAAGAATAAATTACAACGGATTCAAGCAAAGCTTTGTGAATCCAGAAACACGTGCGCTGTTCTGAAGCAAGATATTAATAAAGCACAAAAGGTATTGCATGTTTTTGTTTTATAAATTTAATTAATATTCATTGTGTTTTTTCTCGTATGTATACTATCGGTTGTATTCTTACATGTACAGATGTACAGTTCTATGAGTTTTAATATTGTATTTAATATTGCAAATGTGTGCGTGCGTGCGTGCGTGCGTGCGTGCGTGCGTGCGTGTGTGTGTGTGTGTGTGTGAGCGTGCGTGGGTGGGTGGTTGGGTGTGTGTGAGCGTGCGTGGGTGGTTGGGTGTGTGTGCGTGTGGGTGCACGCGCATTAATTAAGTTTAATTTAATGTTAAAAAAATAATTAGTTTTTATAAGAGAAGCCAAATAATCGTTCTAGTCATTTTTAGGAGATGAAGAAATACGAAAAAAGAGAGAATTTTCTCTCAGTTTATAATAGAAATAATATATATGTATATATATATATATGTATATATACACAGGATACGTCACCAAGATCCGAACAAATCGAACAATTTCTTTAAACAAAATATTTTTAATGAAAAATTAAATATTACAAAAAATCCTTTTACGTGGCATTTGGATGATCCCTATAAAGCATAATTATTCGATATATCCCTCATTAGCTTGAATGACGGTTATTCCATTCTCAGTCTGAAGCGTTCGCTCGCACGCTGTAAGAATATAGCGCTGTCCATACCGACGAATGCTGCTTTAATAGCGGTCCTTATTGACGTCACATTAGGATGCCGAGACTTATTAGTGATCCTTTCAACTACGCTCCGTACGTAGTAAACCAAAGGATTTAAATCTGGGCTGTTGAGTGGCCAGAATTCCTTGGATCAAAACATATCGACATTGTTCATGGCAGCCTTAGTAGAGAGCACCTGTCGTATTTTTAATGATACAATTTGTATCGAAGGTTCTCTTCAGCAATTTGACGCATTGTTGGCTCGCTTACACCAACAATCAATGCTAATTTTCGCAACGATTGGGTTCAACGCCCTGGATTATCCGAAATCGGCTCTTGAGCCTTTTTCAACGACTGCGGGGGTCCTCGCGGTCCGTTCTTTCGAGTGACTCTTCCTCACTAACATACTGGAACCTTCGTTGGATTGTTCTAAAGCCGTAAATTTGGCCACACAACGTCATAAACGGTTGATCTCGGGTATCCAAAAAATCGAACTTTTTCCGTTGCTGAGCGCTCAGCGCGAAGGCCTTCGATGATCGCGGCTCTTCAATTATACTCCGCACTTGGTTTCAACATTGCGGCCATTTTGAAAATATGACTGTTTAATCCTTAATCCTTAAGTCCGACGGATTCATCACGAAATCCGGATTATAACCATGCGAATATTGGCCTTTACGAGAGATTCTAATTGGGCAGGAATCCCTCGGTTTTTTTTTCCTTTCTTAGATTTAAAATTCACTTGACAACTTTTCTTTTATTATCGTGATTCCTCTTCTTCAGGCTTCTTCAACCTTCTAACGCCAACTCAACGAATCTCTGAACATTACTAATATGCCATTATTACTTATATATACAGGATGGGGCAATAACTTTGTGCACCTTGAACATCTCCGTTATTTTTAGAAATATGAAAATATTGTAATTACAAAAGTTGTACGATATTAAGAGAACCATAATATATGCTGGTTATAATTTTTTTAGGTGGAGGCGCTTCGAAGATTTCAAGGTCAACTTCATTTTTTTAAATGGAATTATATGAATTTTTTTCATTATATGATTCCCCCAATTATTCTGTACATAAAAGTATCAAGGTAGAGATATTAAAAAAACCAACAGTTTTCGAGATATTTTACATATTCTTTTGGTATATAATATATATTGACATAAAATGTTTAATAACTCGTAAACTATTGACTTTTTGATAATCGTACCTTAATGCTTTTGTGAACAGAATAATGAAATGAATCAATTGGTGTAAAGAAAACACATAGTTGCTATAAAAAAAATATGTATGCGAAATGGATAATTTAGAAATAAGCAACTATATGTGTTTTCTTTACACCAATTGATTCATTTATTAACTATCTATACTATCTATCTATCTATCTATTTAACTATCTTGATACTTTTATGTACAGAATAATTAGAGGAATCATATAGTGAAAAAAAATTCATATAATTCCATTTAAAAAAATGAAGTTGACCTTAAAATCTCCGAAGCGCCTCCACCTAAAAAAATTATAACTAGCATATATTATGCAACTTTTGCAATTACAATATTTTCATATCTCTAAAAATAGCGGAGATATTCAAGGTGGACAAAGTTATTGCCCCACCCTGTACATATATACCTATATATATATATCTAGCAGTTTTTGAGCATTGCATAAAAACTTGCATAAAGCAATATGACTGTTTACTAGAAGCATCAGGCTTTCTTGGAAATCAATAACATCCTCTGGCGGAGGCACAATATAGCGGAAAATTTAAATTAAAATTTATCCGGATTTTGTTGACACACCCTGTATATAAGAGTCACTGTTTTGTCACTTGACGGAAGCTTCTTTAAAGCCTTATCTACAATATGCACTTTATTTCCTATTCTTACTTTTTACCTCGCTCCTTTTTCCTTCTTCGTGATTGTTTTGTGATAATCGCATTTCTTTTCATTATATATTCCTTCCTAATAAACAAGAATAGGTTAAAATGGATTGAAATTGATTCAAATTTTCAAAAATACGCATTTGAGAATGTTAAAATGAATTCTTTTCAATCCGAGTGCATTTTTATTATAGGTATTACATGTGTGTGAAGCACATTTCTATACCTTTCAATCTAAAAATATCATATTCCTTCTATCTCTCGTGAATATTTTTTAATTCAAAATTTTGATTATATAGGAAATGCAGTTTTTTAATCTAATTGAATCTAGTTAAATCCAACTTAAATCCAGTTGAATTTAATAAAGTTTTCTTATTTAGAATACGCATTCAAATAAATAAAACTTCAATCCATTTTAATTCATTCTCGTTTACTGAGGGGCAGAGCACATTGTAGATTAGATTTAAATTTCTCTATGTATTATATAATTATCACTAAGAATATAAATATCAGTTATTGTGCAGGGAAGTGGGTGAAAATATTAGCATTAGTACGCTTTCGAGTATACCAGGTTGGCGTGGACGAGCCGAGCAAATTCGGAATCTACAGCAAAAATTGGTAGAATTGCAAACAAAATTATCCGAAAACGAAAAATCCCAAAAAGAATTATTCTCTGGTACGAGAAAAAATTATATTCATATCTCTACTCGAAATTGTTACTCTGCAATAAGAATTATTTTTATCGCAAATTATTTTATTCATTATTTCATATTTAATATATTTTATTGTTATCTGCTTATTTTGTAGATTTATTAAATATATAGTATTAATTGTTGATATATGTACAATTTATGTAATTGAAACTTGTAATATGAGATTGGCTATTTAATATATTTGCCTTCTTATCATTTAGCTTCTCTAGACCGGCAAAATTTGACATGTCTTCGGAATGCTGAAAAGGAAAGACGGCAACAGATAGAAAACACTGCGAAGGAACTGAGACAAGCGGAAGTAGCGTTAGAGACTTCGAAGAGGAAACTCGATGCTTCGAAGGCGAGAATAAAAGTATTAGAGCAAGAATTGAGTATCGCGAAGGCGAGCATTACGACGCTAAATGAAAAAAGGTCTCGTGACGATCGTTTGATTGACGCGCTTAATGTTAGTGATCAACGATATTTAGTTTTACAAAAAATCAATTACAATATTTGCCTATATATAGCGTGACAAAAAGATTTGTTTTCAGTATGTGTATATGTATAATACACATACAGGGTATCCCAAAAGTGTGGAAACCTCTTAATTCGGAAACTAAGCATTTTTAGTAAAAATGTTTTAGACAAAAGTTGTAGGGTTTAAAAAGATCTATTTAATAATCTCATCAGTTTGACTTTTGGTGGCATCACCAAGGTCACATTGATTTTTTTAAATGAGACTTTTATTCCAGAATCTAGGTAATTGCTGTTGTCAAGAACTTTTTAAAATACTACGATAAAGTTAATTTTCATTAAGTACTTTTCGAATTATATAAAACTTGAAAGTTACAGTACCGTCATCATTAATATTACTCAAGATATATATATCTGACCGACGACTATACAACTTTTTAACCTGACTTTAGCGAGACGTTACTAAAGATCAAACTGATGAGATTATTATAGATAATTTTTATTACTTTACAACTTTTGTTTAAAACATTTTTACTAAAAACATATATTTAAAACATATTCTCCAAAAATGTGCTTAGTTTCCGAAATTTAAGGGATTTTCACACTTTTGGCACATCCTGTATATTATGAATTTTTCGGCTTTATAATGTACTAAAGTGATCTAATGTTCATATCAGGGGCGATTGAAGATTTCTGAAGTGAGATATCAAGATCGCGAGGTAGAAGTGCGAAATAAGGAACACATGATCGAACGTGAAAGCGCGAATATCAAGAATGAATTGAGAGCAACGCAGTTACACGTTGATCGATTACGCAGGAGATTAGAGGAACGCGAGATTGAGATTGACAAATTGAGGTCTATATGAACAAATCACTTGTACCATGTGATACGAGTTTGTCATTCCGATAAGGGAACATATTTGTTTTCCAATTTCAGAAATGGCATTCTGTCGGATGAATCTTTCACGTGTCGGACTTCGATTCATCGAAATTTTCGGCCAATTGAAGGGCAGCAGATTAGTCCAGTCGTTAGCCCGCGAAGTTTAGACGAACCAAATGAATATGTGACCTTGGCCCTAGCTGCTGAAGCCGAACGAGTGAGGCTGTTGGAATTAATAACATTACTTAATCAACGACTGGACAAAGAAAGAAACGAAACTGATTCACTTGCAGTAAGTTTACATTTTTTACTATATTCATTAAAGAATTTTGTTAATAATTATTTCGATAAAGGAACATTATAATTTTGTGACAATTAAATTTGTTGAAATTTCAAAGCTTTTTAATTAGAATACGAGTATATAGATTTTATAAAATTTGACAAATATTTATATATCACAAACAATTGTACATTTAATTTAAAAGAAATCGCTGCGTAAAGAAAAGAATAAGTGTGCGAAGTTAGAGTCGAAATTGCGAGATTCGGAGAAAGAAAGAGTGGGCCTTACTAAAGTGGATACGAGATATAAAGCAAAATCTTGCATAAAATCGATGTTGACTTTACGAGCGGAAGAAGGAATCACCCATCCTGAAGAAGTTCGTTATAAGTAAATTACATGTTGTAACTGCTGTAAAATCTGCTTTTTCTTTTCTTAACACCAGTGACATGCATTTTAAGAGATCATCGGGCTTTTTTTATCGATTTCTATAATCCGTCGATATTTTTATGTTTGACGTAGAATCGAATTACTAGAAGAGGAGTGCCTCACACTGAAGGCCAGATTAGATACCGTGCAACAGGATAAAGCATCGGATCTCATCATGTACAAGCGAATGCTCGATCAAGCTAGAAAGACTTTTAAAGACGCGTGCAGGTGAGAGAATCAGGACTATGTCCAAACTCACATATACTCAGAAAATGGAAAGTTACTCTTAAAAGTAACAAGTTACCGTTCCTAATTATCGATTTGTTAAGATAACGATCGTTACATATATTCAGTTATACTGTTACTCGAAAAAGTAACTTTTCGTTACTTTTCTATTACTTTTTTAAAATCGACGACCATCAATCACAGGAGCTTTCTAATTTCAAGTGCTATAAAATTTATTACTGTTACTAAAACGATGTAACTACATTATCATTACAATTACCTATTCAAAAAAGGTAACGCAGTTACCAGTAAAGTTATCAAAAAACTAACTTATAACTGTAGTTTAATAAAGTTTTATTATAAATTACTTTCATTCTCTGTGATATATTGGTTTAAACGAAATCTAAATTTCGTTCGACGACCGTATATGTGCGTGAATATGCACGTTGCTTTTACAAAGGACAATTAGTTACCTCACGATGCCATTTTCCAATACACGACCTTCTAGGAATTCTCTCTCTTGTATAAGAAGTGCAGACGACCGAAGTTTATTTTTAGATTTTTCATTTGCCTTTGCTTCTTTAGTGCTATATTGCTTTTTTACTATACAAAACGCATAAGATTACCGTGATTTTACTTCTTATACTTCATATTAATCATTAACAATTGTTGCTACTTTTCAATGTAACGTATTTTTATGTGTTACATTGAAAAGTAAACAATTAATTAATTGTATTTATAGTATAAGATCGATTATGATTATTATTTAACAATTATGTGAGACCAATTACTATTAGTGTTTAATATCTAGATGAAAGTTCATCTTATTTTTACTCGAATATATATTATTTTCATTTGTATCTTAGATAAAAAATGTTATTTTTTTTATCTAAGTAAGATGCCGCAGATGAAGATAATATACATATATTCTTGTCGAAATAAGATTATGCCCCATTTCATTTAGATTATTTAAATATATTTCATTTAGATACCAACAAACAATGACTGTTACATTTTGACGACTCTATAATTTTTTTTTTTGAAAAATTTGGATAGAGTAAGAAAAGAGAAATTTTCTCGTATAAAGGATTGGACATAATATATTCATGTTTAATAATATATCACTATTTTGTCTTCAGAACATCTCTATTCTCTTGGTTAATTATATTTTCTAATATTATTAGTTCAAATGATATAAAAATTATATGATTTTTTAATTTTAAGCCAATATAAATTGTTTTGTATTGTTCTTCCATATGTCAGAATCAAATATTTCTTTCCAGAAACAAACTAGTTACTAATGGAAGTCGTTCCACAATAACTATTTAAAACGAAACCGAGAAGAGGTACTGTATGAAGAAACGAGGAAGTATTTCCGATTCAATCTGAGGCAACAGGTCTGAGGAAATTTGACAGTTTGTAAGAGAAAAAACTCTGATGTGTGTTAAAGATAAAATAGAATATTCTTATACGAGGCAAACGAGACAGTCGTTCGCGATCGGAATAGATGTAGCAGCAACAAAGCCACACGGTATGGTGATGTAACTGGGACACGAGATAAGGTGCAACGCCTCCACGTAAACCCGCGTGACATCGTCAGAGTAAAACTCACAGTTTCGTCTTCACCTCGTTCCTCCACCGTTCCCTTAACGTCGCTCCGGTGTTTGCCTCGACCGACTCGTTTACTTCTACCATTGATATCGCACACGGCGGCACCGCGGCCGTAAATTCATTCCGCTTCTCGTTATCCAAGAGCAGAGCGAGACTCTCAACCTTGTATTACCGAGTGTAGTCTGAAGTTTGAAAGATATACGTTTCAAGGAGCGCCTAACTAAGATTTATAACGTCGCAATATCATATAAATCGCCAAAATGGAAAATAAAAATTTATATACTTAGCAACTTTTGTAAAACACTTTATTGTAAAACATAATTTTATGTGTCGATATAAAATTATATTGATAGAAGATAATTTTATATATTGAGCTGGAGAAAATAAGAAAATTAATGAAAGTGTATGAAATTTTCACGTTGAAAAGATTGTTTATAGTCAAGCAGAAATAATTTAACTTGTACACAAATATATATTAATTTTATCTTTCGCTTCTTATGAGTTTACAAATTTTTCAAATACGCTATCAATGTAGTATGAATTTATATGATAATATAATCTATCTTGAAAATCAATGATTACTCTCAAGTTTCTCGCATTTTGTTGTATACAATTGACACAATATTTTCTTCATACCGGGGCATTCATTTTACATAACGTCTCATCAATAGTAATGCGAAATGTATTCTACTACTCTGACTACAGTGATAAACACTAAGTTCCATCTCGTGTAGTCTATTATAATTTTTATGCAAAATCGTTGAG